GAATTTATTAGCCAATCAGACGAACTTCTGCCTGCATGAAAAATCCAGTGCCAGGTTTTAGTCGATCGTTGTGAGCAATAAAATTTTAAATTAATGGTAAGGTTAGCGTTCAGAATAAAGTTAAAGACTTGAAATTATATAGAAAAATCGGGCAAGGAAACCTTCTTGTTAGAGCGCTAAAAGTGGAGTTGTATGTGGTTTTTTGAAAATTAAGCTATTTTGGACAATTTCATGATCGTGTTACGTTACACCTAATCCTTGAAATATGACAAACCTGGCACAGGATTTTGTCCTCCAGACCAAAAAAATAGGACTTTTGCAAACGTAATATACTACTACTCATAAACATTTGGTATAATGTGAAATCAATGATAACGTGTTAATTTATAGTTTAAAACTAGGGATAGGGTTGGTTTCTATTTCGCTAAAATTGAGTTTACAATTTCACATTATACCAGATCTTGTTTTTTTTATTGGTAGCAATACAATTAAATTATAAATCAATATATTTATAAAAATATTTACGCATTTAATTAAGTTCTCCATGTATTCATTGAATAATTTCAATTCAGTACTTAACAGGATTCCTTTTTGATCTTTTGTTTCAAGGCTAATAAAAAATTGTTAAATCTTTTCATCTTAAATGATTTTTTGTATATGAATGATTTGACTTACATTTTTGCAAGTTCATTGGTTTCCATTGATTCTATTTTTCTGCTTTCATTCATAGTATTAGCTCTATAGTCGTTAACTACATCTCTATTGCTTTTTAGATCATCTTTAGCTCCAATAATATCTTTAACTTTCTTATTTATATCCTTGATCCTCACTATATCATCACGGTTAAATATTTCATTGATTTTTTGTACATCATCATTGGCGGTATTAAAAATAACATGAATTGAATTTGATACACTTTTTATGATTTCGACAATACTGTTTATGCAGCTAGGTTGACTAACAAGCATACCAATATTTAATAATATTTGGACAATATCAATAATAATTTGTGTTTTCGCATCACGCACTATTTTTTTTCCCCATTTATCAAATCCTTTTTCGAAGGCAGTTCGCGCATTATCAACTTCATTTTTTCTTTCCTATATATTAAAAAAAAATATATATACTGATGGATTTATAATTGAAATTTAATTATTCTAAAAAGTGTTAACATACCCTAAGACTGCTTTCTACCTTTTTCATGACTTCAAATGTTGATTCATAAAGTTTGTTATCTTCACTTTTAAAATCCTGAAACATTTCTGTCGTCTTTTCGCAGTCTTTTAATAACAATTCTAATTTACATTTTTTCATTTCATTAGTTTTTATGTTTTTTAGAAGTTCCATGTATTTATCTTCATAAGATTTTGCAGCATCTATGAAACCTTTGATACTTTGCAAATACATACGCTTATCTAGTAGGGGGACGAAGCGTATTTGACGTTTGGTTTCCATCCTCTTTTTAAAAATATGAAATAATTCAGAAATTGCCAATCCATGATGATATAATTCCTTTATCTCATCTAATTGTGATTGTGCCGTTATTTCAATAATCCAATTAAGGATTGATTGTGTAATTGTCGGCTCATCATAAAATAAAGCACAAGCAATTTGCAGAGAAAATTGCAGTATCTTACTAAATTGCTTTCTTAGAAAAATTTTATTGTCGAATTTTTCAAAATGCTTTATATCTTTAAGATTTCCAGATTGTACTAAAAGTGTTCCACCAATGTGCTTATATTCATGGTTAGAGGAAAATTTGTTGATAATGACCTTATTGTTATATATGGATGTTATTTCTACATTAAGATCAAATGGAATTTCCTTAGCATATACCACTAATCGGAAAGTGTCTTTTTTTTCATGATTAATAACGATTCGGCATCCTGGATTAACTTCGATTCGTCTTGCAACTATAAATAAAATATTACATTCATCCAAATCTCGGATTTCTAGATTTTCAGAAAGTTGAACCACGTCTCCATATATACGAACAATATCGGTTTTGATGTATTCCCGGTTTTCCAGATTTGGAAAAACTTTACTGAGATCAATGACCAAGTCACTTTTTATGAACTTAATATTAGAATAGAAAAGTTTTAGAATTATATTTATTTTAATAACATGAATGAAAATATATTAATTTACCTCTACTGGTGTACATTCTGATACTGGATTATATTGTATTTGAAAAAAATCTAGTATATCTTTGTACAGTGTTTTCCAATCTTTGAGGTTCCCATTTGGTATCCTAGTCAATTGTTTCTTAACCATTTTTAATTTCTCGGGACTTTCAATTATGATTTCAAAGAGAAAACATACATGTTTATATATATATATATTTATAAGCGGGATGATCACTAATAAAAAAAGTGGGACCATTTCTACGTCATATACGTCATTATTGTTTATGGTTGTTTATGGTGGTTTCTGTATGACTACAAGAACATCCAACTAAATTTCAAATGTAACGCGAGAACGCTGTTTTCAAAAAAAATTATGTGAAGCCGCCTTCTGAGCTTTAATAACAAATTCCTAAGCAAATACTAACCATAATAATAAATCTTTATTACGTAAATCATTCTCTTTATTCTATTGTTTTAGTTTACGACTAGAGTTTAAAATTACGTTTTTTTTTTGCATACACCATATTTTGTGATACGTTTATTCGGGATATATAAATGCGAGGATATTTTTAAATGCGGCTAAGGTTGTATTATGTGTATTCATAATCGTGAAAGTTCATACATTCCTGAGTTATTTTTTCATATAATATGGTATGTAATAAGGTTAGGTCTAGTAAATTTAAATACAGACCATAAATCTTAATATTAGCAATAAACCTTTAGTAAAAGTAAGATTTCTTTTCTTCGTGGGGATAGGTCAAGAACGATGGTTTGTGATGATTCGGAAATGGTCCGATTTGCATTTCTGGATACAACTAATCTACTCGTACTTACGCCATTTTGTTTGACCGTTTTATGACCTAATTTTGGATGAAATGATTGCTAATCGGCTGGATAGAATCATACCATCTATTGTACTACGTACGTACATGACGGAAACATGAGATTTGGTACGTCGACTGATCTTTTTTTTTTTAAAAAAAACAATATACGTAGAATATTTCTTATAATATTATTTTTCGTACTACCATTGCTGATATGACCTATATAAATCGCTAAAGAAAAAAGTTGCTATTACTCTACGTTGAAACATCTAACAAATATTCTAATTATTTGCAAGGAAACTTAACTGCCATTTGCCGAAAAAATGAATAATTTGTATGTTATTTGTTCACACTATTTCGAAAAAGATTTATCATTATGATTAAATAGCAGTTATATTTAATTCAATTAAAAGAATGCGAATAACATTAAGTTTTTCTTTTTTTAAAAAAACAAATAATAAAATTAAATAATTGGTTATAACTAGAGCGTAAGTATGAAGTGCAATTTTGTCAAAATTATTCATTAATAATGTGTTCCCAATTATTGATTTCATGTCAAATTGATAGCGTGTAAGTTTTACTACCAAGAAAATGTTATTAATTTTAATTACTCGTAAATACATGTAATAACCTATCGATATATTAAATTAATAGAGCGTAAATATAAAATTACTTTCTTATTAATGTATATATATATATATTACCATTAAATTAACTAATTTTCCATTTCGCATTCACCAGACGGTAACTTTGTTTATTTTAAGAACCAAATTATTAAGAAAAGTTGCGCGCTTTTTAATTAATCATTCATTTACTCGTATTAAATTACTAGAATGTAATTATAAGATTTGCTATTCATTGTAAAATCTGTATATGACTGATTCACTAACCAATAATACTTTATTAGTGCGTTAGTACAAGTTATACTTGTTCATTTTATTTTGAACTCGAACATTAGAGAGTTCATATTAATGATTGTTAACTTGTTTTGAACTACAGTTTGTGAGTTTACATTTATTTTCGCTCATTCTAAGATTAGAACTTACGTTTACTGTTAATTATTCATTTATTTTCGCGTTAAATTATTAGGGAGTGAGCATAAGTTTATATCCATTCGTTTGAACAAGACTTTATGTCATTAAATTATTAAATACTATCACTTTATTAAAGAATCCGAAAGTAGTTATCCGCTTGCTATAAAGTCTATGTATTTATTGAATTTACAATAATTTACTTGGTTATTCATTTTCATATAATTTAGGGAGTAAGTATGATGTTTATTTCTATATATGAGTAATGCCGAGGGAAAACCAGACTCGATCATATAAAATTTATATGATCAAAATCTGATTTCCCTTGGTGTCGCCCATACCAGTATGACTTGTGTTATGGCTTGCTAATAACATTATTAAAATCTACATTAATTTCACGTTAAATAATTAGAACGTTAGTACAAATTTGCATTTATTCATTTTAAGAATTCTATGCATTAAGAGGGCTTACATAATTAAATTATTCATTTATTTCGTGTTAAAGTATCAAAAAGTAAGTATAAAATTTGCCTTTATTTGTTTATATCATTGTGCAGCCATGTTATTAACGACTGCACTAAAGATTCTCATATTTGTACATTTTATGTCATTACTGTTTTTCATCTTTTTTTTTATGGCTTGAATTTTAATGACGGTCTCATGCTAAAAAAAAGATGCTTAAATTGATGATATAAACTATACAAATGAAAAAATAGTGCAGTCGTTAATAGGTGATTGGCGCGATTGGCCGCTGCGCGGTAATCTGCACCAATCAGCTGTCGATGTTTAATACCCACATGCATATTTTGAAACACTATCCAATAACTCCAATAACTATAAATTATATTATTTATTAACCTACACAAAATTATTAGTTCGTGAGTATTAAATTTATTTTTGACATTTTAAATAAAATTAAAATTAAATCGATTTATTTTCACTTCAAATTATTAGGAAGTAAGTGCATAGATTATTTTTATCGGATTTAAACCAGGAACATTAAGAAATTTACTATTAAATTATCTAGAGAGTGTGTATAAAGTTTATTTGTTATTTAAAAGTATGTGTATATACCATTCATTAAATTATCTCTCGTGTTAATTTGCCAGACGGTAGGTGTAAAAACATTTGATGTTAAAAAAACTATTATATTATATAATAAACTATTTATCAACCATATTGTTAATTAAATTATTTGCTTGTAAGTAGATTTAATTCAACTTAAAATGTAAATCTATACATAATATATCTTATTAAATAATATTTTCTCAAAATGATTACTAGATTGTATGTATAAAATTCATATTAATTTAAATGTACCATTAAAATATTTAAAATACTTATTTTTAATGCATTGAATAGACGGCAAGTATAGTATTCATTCGATTCAAAAGATTGATCCAAATATGCAAATTATTTATGACTTTGTATCAATTAGACGGTAATTATAAGTTTAATTACTTCAACTTTTAAAGTATTGAGAAATTTATATTCATTTAATTTTCCAGCTTGTGAGTATAAGTATTGTTTTGTCTAGTTTTAAAATCAATGCACCTGAATTACTTGTTTACACTAATTAAATAATTAGCACGTAAGTGTAACATTTACTTCTGCTTATTTGAAATCTGTATATAAGATCTGTTTATCTTATTATTTGTATCAAATTACCAGGGAGTGAGTATAAAATTCACATTTAGTTGAGTTACATTTATTTATATATATTAAATAATTTATTTATTATTGTACTAATTGTTAAATTGTTAGAATGTAAATATAACGCTTTGTTACTGTTTATTTGGCAAGAATTTACACACATTATTAATTTATGTCAAATTATAAGAGAGTGAGTAAACATTTATTTACCTTTGTTTATTTTGAAATTAGAATTTCAGATTACCATTATATTACTTATTTATACTCATTTTAAATTACTAGTTTGTGAGTATAGAATTCTTTACCATTTATCTTGGATCTATAAAAACTTACATGTATCTATAAAATATTAGGAAGTAAGTATGAAAACAAGTATCTAAAAAATTACATGTTTGCGTAAATTATTAATTTATTCCTATCAAAATTATTAGTGAGTGAGTAAACTTCCATTTTTGATTTTTTAAATTTATGTCAAAATATTTTATTTATTTCATTTAATTTGTCAGTGAGTGAGTAGAGCTTATTTTACCTATTTCAAATCGACGAACACTCATATTTTTTAAATTTATGAACTATCAGAATGTAAGTAAACCTGCTTTATGATTCATGTTTTAAATTACTTTCGTTATATGCAAAATATTTATGCTAAATTATTAGTAAAGTGTAAGTGCGAAGTTTACTCTCGATAATTTAAAATTAAATGTCATAAAATTCAACCAATCGCTAAACCATTCACGCTAAATTATTAGAATGTAAGTATTAGTAATAGGATTATTTCAGTTGTGATAATCAAGATGCAACATGGTCAAGTTTGCAAAAAGAATTTTTCATTAAATTGTATCTTCTCAATAATAAGCACAAAAAAAAATATAAAAGGCAAAATATATCGTTTAATAAGTTTATCAAAACTATTTAAAATAGCAATGGCTAGTTTTTTTTTATTGAATAGGAACAGCATTACCACCTTAAAAGTTCTTTTAAACAATCAATTTCCATAGGAAATACGAAAATTAATAATTCAAAACAGTTATAGTCAAAGCTTTGTTTATGCAACCTTCTTTAACTAATAGCGAAATTTTTAGGTTTGACAACGCTGTGTCTTATTGAGTAGATACAATTTTTTTTTAAAAAAAAAAGATAAATTGGATGCATGATTTAATTAATTGACTTATTTAATCTAATAGTTCGTAAGTAGAAGATTGATTACTCCTTTACTGATCAAACGTACTTACAGAGTTAATTTACATATGCATTAGAGAGTAAGTATAATTACTTTTGATTTGTCAGAGATTTACATGTCGATATTAAATTCTTTATTTATTGCTGATTAGGCAGTAAGCATAAATTCCTTCATCTTAAAACAAATGCTATAAATTCAAAGCATCTGCTTATTGCATATTATTTAATTTCTTCGAACTACAAGATTGTAAGTATGAAATTACATAATTGAGAACTTACATGTTCGTATTATTAATTATTTCTTCTCATACTGGTTAGATGGTATGTGTTTATTACTAAGCAATTTTTTTTAAAAAAATAAAACACGATAAAATGACTAATGAACATTTATTTTGTGATTAATTTTTAGGGAGTGAGTATAAGGCTATTGATGTTTGCTCAAAATTCTACCACGGATATTTAATATCAATTACCGTTACATATTAATTAGATTGTTAGTATAAAGTTTTATCTTATTTTGAAAAATAATTGTTACCATTTTCACATATTGCTACTTATTCATTATTTCTATTTATTCGTACGCTAATCAGAAGGTGAGTAAAATTTTTTTCTGCCATTTAAATTCCGTACACCATTTCATCATTTACCTCTTTTCATATAAATATTAGAGAGTAAGTTTTCGATTTAATTAAAGTTAGAGTGTGAATATGATAAAATATTCATTTTTATTCTCATACTAAATTATACTAAATTACTACACTAATTTTAATATTACTTTTATTAGAAATACTAGAGAGTAAGTAAACTATCTAATTTTTAAATTATTTTCAATTGGTTCGTGCTCACCATTATTGAACCTAATTACTAGAAAGTAAGTATAAAATTAAATATTATTCAAATTTGGATATCAAGAGAATTTGCACGAAAAATAAATTATTCATTTTACACTAATATAAATTTAATTATCAGCGAGTAAGTATGAGATTATTTGAGATTAAATAGCAGACAACTTATAATATAAATTATTCATTTGTCCGTGTATAAAATTACAAGGGAGTGAGTATAAAGTTTATTTCTATTATTTATATTAAAATTTATATATTCCATTAAATTATCAATGTTTTTAAAGTGACAAAGAGTAAGTTAAAGTTATTTAAATAAACATGTTAAACATGTCTTAATGATTTACATATGTCAGTAAATTATTTATAATTGAGTTTAATTTATAGGTAGTGAGTATAGTGTATATTTAAAAATCGAAATATTGAAGACTTAATCCATTTACACCAATGTTAAATTAGCGAGTGAGTAGAAATTTATTTTAAAATCAGATCAATAATGACTATTTAATCTTATATTGATTATTAGGGAGTGAGTATAAAAGCATTTTATAATTAGAAAATATGCACAAATATAAAAATATACACCAACATTAAATCATTTATGAATTCGTTAATTAGGAGGTGAATATAAATTCGTTTCTATTCAATTTTAGATTTATAAAACAAAAGGATTCACATTCTTATTAATCTACTAGCCTGTTAGTATAAAATTCATTGCTATTAATTAAATTCGGAATAATCGGTTAACTTTTGTGTTAAATTACAATTACTAGGAAGTAAGTCTAAACTAAATAATTTGTTCAAATTTAATGTCATGACCTGTTTCGAAGTTAACCAACAGTTAATATTACTAGGTTGTGAGTTTAAACTTATTTTAATTCAGAATATTAGAAGATTTACGATTGCAATTAAATTATTTGCTTTTATTAAATTATCAGTTTGTAAATACCATTTTATTTCAAAACCTATGCATAAATATAATTTATATTACAATTAAATGTCATTATTTAAATTATTTAGAGAGTAAGTATTGGGTTAATTTCTGTTTGCTTAAATATTACAGTATTTTCAAGCTTATATTGTACTTAATCATTTGATCACATATTAGGGAGTAAATATAAAGGTTATTTATTATAAAATTCATATTTAAAAACTACAAATTTTAATTATCCATTCATGCTTTAATCAAAAGCGAGTAAGTATATACATTTTGTTAATGCAGAAATAAGTTTATCACCAGAAGACTTTAATAATAAATTTTATATTTTAACTACTAGATTGTAAGTATAAATTTATTATTAAGGAAGTTTTCACTAAACGGTGATATTAATTATTCAATTACAAAGGGCGTAAGTATAAAAATCTTTACCTGTCAACGAATATTATTAAATCAAACTAATTACACGAATTAAAAGGAGGTAAGTGTAAGGAGGTTACGATGATTTATCGAAAGTAATACAACTCTAATCACTTTTTTGTTAACTAAAGCGGGTAAGCATAAATTTTTTTTCAAAAAAAAAATCCATATTAAGCCTACCTCTAAATAATAAATCTAAATTTATTTGCGTTAAACACCAGACTGTAAGTATCGAGTCTATTTTTGTAACTGTGGTATGGGAATTGTCATTAATAAGTATGATTATAAACATTTTAATAAATAAAGGAAGTAAGTATACTATTTATTTCCGTTTATCAATGGCGATTATTGATACTAATATTTTGATTGTGCTAAATTTCTAGCCTGTAATTATAAAATTCATTTTACATATGTTAAACTACTTTTAATACGTATGATACATTGTTAATGAATAATACAACTCTAATTGTTCACATAAAATAAAAGTCGGTGAGTGTAAATTTATTTTCATTAAATAGTTAACAATCCAACAGTGGTGCTAAACTTCTTTGTTTAAACTATTAGACTGTGAGTATTATCTTTGAGCGGCTTACTTAAAGCGTTAAACATAAAAAATAATACAATTCTGCCTACATTGACTTAAAGAAAGTAAGTAGAGGTTCATTTGTTATTTAATCAACATGATATTATTAGACCTAATATTTATATCTAATTACTTAACTACCAGATTGTAAGTACGTTAATTGTTTATAGCTTTGTATTAAATAATACAACATTGATAATTCACCATTTTAAATTACCAGATTGTAAGTATAATTCTATCAATATTCATTTAAATTAAAGATTATATCTCATTAATTTAATTATTAAAATTATTAGACGGTAAGAATAAATTGAAGCTTCAGCTTGTTGTTGCCAAATTAACTTACAAACTAATGGTTAAAATTAAAGCAAGTAAGCATAATATTTATTTTAAACTGATTATTTATATATTCTTCACATTTGTACAAACTCAAATATATATGTGATAAGTGGGAACGGAAGTCGGAATTTTTAAGGTTATAAATAGAGTATTTAATATAGTTATTCCGTTCCAATCTAGTAGATTCCAATTCCTTTCCCACTTTGAACATATATCAGAAAGTTAATCGCAAAAAATAGATATTTTTTGATGTATAATTAAAACTTGTACGAATTTGTTATGCTAAGTTGTGAAAGCTTATTAATCCCGTGATTTCACCTAAAGTGAGTGAGTATAAGGTTATCACAATTATTAAGATTAAATATATTTTAATAATTCACTCTTATGATAAATTATCAGGCTGTGAGTATAAAATTTTTTTATAATCTCTTATGAAGATTTACTAATAAATAATGTAATCCAAATCGGTTATTTATCTGCAAATTCAAAGCGAGTAAGTAAATTTATTTTTTTAATTAGATTATATTGTTTATATAATATGAATTAATTGTCTAATTAATAAATTAATAGGGAGTAAGTGTAAACTCATTTTATTTATTATGATTAAAAGAATTTAATTAATCTGTACCTACAATTATTTAATACATGATAAAAGGAAGTAGGTATTCGGTTGAGTTGTTTGAAATTTTACAATTAAAAAATAAAAATTAAAAAACTATGTTAAATTAGACGGTATGTATTTATTTTATTTACATGAAATTAAGAATTGCTTTCTTAATTTATATATGAAATGATTATAAATCTCATTCACATATATTTAAAACCACATTTAAAGTTTACTATTTAATTTGCTCAATTAATGAAATGTCAATATTTTCACAAAATAATCCATTTGTTTTACTCATTATAGGATAAATAACGAATGCAGCCAAATTCTTACAAACATTATGAACACGTGTCAGATATGTGGTCGATTTCATAATGGTGATGGAAGTAGCAAATTGGATGGTATTTCTCCTATATATTTTTACACAATTCCGGAGCCAATTATCTCTCAAAATGCAGTGGACTTGTTAAAACAAGTATCCAATGATCCTAGTTTACAAAGTACTTACGAAGAAATCGAAGAAATCAATAAAAATTGGCAAAAGTTTAAGGAGGATAACAAAAAAATGATTGCTTTTGCATTAAATATTCATTCCTACTTAAACAAGGCTTATGAAGATTTAAAAGTGTCAAATTCTATCATTCTTTCAGATCTTAACGAAGAGGATGATGAATTCGAAAAAATTTTCCAAGATCAGTCTTACAAACTGATTAAACAAAATTTATTGCTGTCCTCTCTCAACTGTGAAAATATTGCTTCTGAATTCGAAAAGTTTCAGAAACATGGGCAAATTTCAAATATTATTGATGTCATTGAACACTCATATAATTTGGCTACAGTCTATGAAAAGATATATAAAGCGATACATTGTAGAGATTTAAGGCAACTTAAACAGGTCAATAAACTTTTGATAACTTTTTGATTTATGCTAATTAATTAAAGCGACATATTTTTATTTAAAATAAAAGAAAGTTGGCAATGAAATTGATGACCTTAAAAAGTGGAAAAACGAAAGTATCGAAATTTTAAATTTGCTTGACTTGAAAATTGGATTAGAGTATACAAAAAACCAATTGCAAAATTTAGGAGAATCTAAGATTTTCAGCAAAATATCAGGTATATTAGGATATATTTGGTTAATATGTTTAATAAAATGTTTCTTATTTTTTGTGTATATTTGTAGATTTTTGGACAAATCTTTCTAAAGAACTTCGATATAATGAAAACTATATCAAGACGAATATTACAGATGGTGAATTATATGTAAAAAAACTCGCTTATAACAATCTTGCGAAGCATTACTCAAGAATTGGATCATTGGTAAATTCTTTCTTTGACGATATTATTATGGGCCAAAACGAGGACTGGCTAAAATTATTGAACATTTTTGAATTAATCCATTAAAGTAAACATTACAAACTTATATGTATTTATAAATATATATTTGTATATATTATCTGTTTTTGTTACAACTATCAAGATAGAGGATTATATGCTGATAAACCTTCCAACTATTCAATTATCTAAATGTATATTTTATAAATATAGCTTTTAAAAAATTATATCTAAATGAAGGCTTATAAACTTTATACTTCATAAATACAATAAAGTTTTTAACTATTTATATATATGATTCTGTCACGTTGCGCTTAGTGTTAATTTTATTAATAAGTGTGTTCTCGGGCGCCTAAGTCAATCTGTTGGAACGGTTCTGAGGGTAAATTTTATAAAAAAATCGTTTAAAGAATCACTGTGCTTATTACTCTAATGAATAAAATATGTGATGATCTTTTAGTATGCTAAAAAGAAAATTTAATTAGCGGAAGATTGTTTAACTGATCAAGGGTATTTATAATTTCAGCTAACAAAGATGAGGCCAAGATATCCTATTTTTCATAGTTTATAAAGATTAATTGTTCAAGTACTTCTCTCTTCGCATTATGGATCTTCAAAATCGTTACTAGTGCCAACGAATTATTATTTTATTATTAATACAAAAATACATATATATATTTTTAATAATTTATTTATATTGATACAGGGCGACTCTAACGGCTAGGCAATACCACTCATTTTTGAACCAACGATAAACTTAGTCAAAAGAGATAGTTAGATTTGGTGAAGTGCGTCGGTTCTTATGGTAAGCATTCTTGTTGGTTGTATTTTCTACTTTACTAACAAAGCCCTAAGTTATACTAAAATCACAACCAATTCGATACGTTAACGGCCGGAAACACTGGGTGAGGTAATCTACTATTTAATTCAATAACCACAATGCATCGAGTCTAGGACGGACAACAAGGGTCGAAGCGACGTGCTCAATACTTAAGCTCTACTTCTACTATGCTCAATAATGGGACAGGTAATGTAAAAGTTTGTTTAGTGTGTAGGGTAGTTTTAGGACACGTTGAATAGGACAAAATATGTTTTTAGGGCCATTTGTTTGTAAAGTACAAGGGATTGAAACGGCTCAAAATTAGCCGGTTTATCCCTATACATTGTTACGGTCGGCACACTACCAAGAAAAAAAAAACGATATGCGACAAGAAGTAAATGGCTTTAAGGAACGTGTTATTAGCTTTTTCTTTTGGGGGCTTTTGATTTTAAAGAGCTTTATTTATTATTATTTTCTTTTGCCTCCAGCACGTACACGGCCACATACTTTACCTGACAAGGTAATATTACCTTAACAGGCGTCAAACCAAATGGCTTTTCTATGGGATCGGCGCCGTCACTTAATTGGGGGAACCTGGATTCAACGGGCTTGCTGCAAGTGGGGTCGTCGTTCGATTCTCTTGGTCACGGGCATCGTCGCACGACTGCCTTTCTGTGTGATGTTTGTGGGTTAGTTGCGTCGGGTTTTCAAGGTCATAGGGTCGGGTTTGCCTATAACAACATATAAAACTCGAAACTTAAACTTTATTAGGGACGAAGAGCCCGAATATCTTTATAAGTCTAAGCTTCAAAAATACAAGCAACGTTAACTTATCACTCGATAGTTGAAGTTTGTCATGAATATTGTTAGAAATCATGGATTAATCAGAAGTAATGAGGTATAGTCTTAATACATTTAAAACAGGTTTATCGCCAGTTAGTTAAAGTAATATCGTGGATTGGTTAAATAGGTCTTCATACCTAATCGGCCATTATTTATTTAGGGATGTAATATTTTAGTTATAGATGGATTACATACTTGACAGAAAATATATTAAACAAATTCACAGATTGGGCAATTTTGATAGAATATGTCAAGTAGTATGGTTATTACTTAGAAATTATAATAAGCATAAATCATTAAACGAGATTATTACTCTTGTATTTTAGAGTGATACATAGTACATAGTTAAAATTTCGTTCTTGGTTCTGCGCGATGACGTCACGTATATATTAAATTAGTTTTATTGGTCAATTTAAATTATTTACTACCCCAAATTGGTTTACCAGGAATGGAGTATGAAATACGAAGTGTATGGTTTACGAAAGAGTTAAGTGGTGTCTCTTCTGTATCTGATTG